AAATCTTGATGGTTCTGTCGGTCTCGTCTATCAAATCTGTCCTTTATTTTGTATTTTCTTTAGGATTCCCCTGCTGAAAAATCCAACTTAAACCAGCCAACCAGCCTAGGCTGGTTGGCTGATTTTAGAGGGGTTTTGGCCATTTCCAGGCTGGTTTCCAGCCATTTCCAGCCCGGTCTTAGCTGGTCAGGCTGGAAAATGACCAGCTAAATCTAGCTAAAACCAGCTTGACCAGCCTGGTTTAAACTGGAAATAGCTGGTTTTGGCTGGGCTTCCAGCCTGGCTAGGCTGGTCAAGCTGGTTTTAGCTGGTCATCTCCCAGCCTGACCAACTAAGACCAGGCTGGAAATGGCTGGAAACCTGCCTGGAAATGGCCAAAACCCCTCAAAACCAGCCTTGTTGACCAGCTAAAACCAGCCAACCAGCCTAGGCTGGATTAAGCTGTTTTTTTCAGTAGGGTCAGGTCAGGTGATTGGCTGGGCCATTCTACAGCTTGACTTTTTGTCTCTGAAAGCTTCTGAGAGTTTCCTTGGCTGTGTTTTGGGTCATTGTCTTGCTGAAATGTCCACCCTGGTTTAATCTTCATCCTCCTGCTAATGTAGATGTTGCATTGAAGCAGCTGATATTCATTTACTCTAAGGAAGGGCAGAGGGTTGCTGAAGAACTACTGAAAGATTTCAGCTGCTGTCTGGGCTTTCACTGCGTTTCTACACCTCCCTATCTTCTTGTGTTCAATACTTTTTCCATGCTTCATTTCATTTCACACATTACTTCATTTGTAAAGTAATTTTGTAGCTGCCGTCAGAAGCAATTCTTATATATTACACTCTATAAACATAAACTTTACATTAAAAAAAGTCAATAAATAGTTAAAATGTTCCAATTAATCATTAGAATAAATAAGTAATGTATATTTGTTGTTAACGCATGTTAATTCATTTAAAGTTATTTAACTAAAACTATAAGGGGGAGGGGGGAACCTTTTCTTGTTATGTTTAGCTTGGGAATTATTTCATTGTTGCAATCAAGATATTCTTCCGTTGCACTACAAGTGGTACAGTCACAAGGTGCTGTGCTAAAACACGTTTTTATGGTTTAAGAAGTGCAAAGAAGTTTGTTTGAGAGAAACTGCAACCCTTCAAGTTTATTCCTCTTGAGTTAGAGAGGCCAATGAGGTATGTGTCGTATGGTGTTAACGTATTTGAACATGTATGATTATGTGTCTGTATGTAATGTATAATTAGCCAATTAAGTGTATTTCTTTACATGTTGAATGTGCACTTTATCTTTTGGTTGTATGTATGTTGTTCATTACATGCAACATCACCTTTAAAGGGTTAATTGAAGTTTATGTATTTCTTTTCGTAGTTCTGACGGCAATATTGGGACATAAAGGAGTGCAAGGCTAGAATGTACAAGACATACTACACTGAAAAAAATTATTCAAAGATGGATTTGCAAACAAATTATTTGTGTTGAATTTAAACAAACAAATTAAGTTTAATAATGTTTAACTTAATTTGTTTGTTGAAATTCAACAGAAATAAATTGTTTACAACCACTTAACATAAAACAATTGAGTAAATCCAAGGAATCCGAATAAATGTCAGTTAAAATCAAGAACTACTTGAGCCTTTGTTTCATCTCGAGGGGAGTAACAAATTTGATTTGTTTTGCAAATATAGATTTCTTTGGTTGTTACCAACCAATTTCAAGTCAACGGCACCCTTAGAAATATGTTTGAAAAATGGTGACATGTTCAATACTTATCTTCCCTACTGTATGTTCGTTGATGCCTTGTCATCAGCCAGTACCTTCTTGATGACTGATTTTGTAATTTGTGGCTGTGGATCATAAAACCAGTCTAAAGTTGAGTCAAAATGATCGATTTTTATTTCATATTTTATTTTATTTCATAATAATCAATACTATCTGGATGCAGCTTTTATGATGCAAGCTGAGATTACATCACTCAGTAATGCAATGTCAGACTTGAACTAGTGACGTCACTGTGAGGGGTAGGGTTAGGGATGGGGTTAGGTGAGGGCATTAAAAAGCATTAAATACAGCTCAGATTGCGTCTGCACCGAGTCTGCATTCAGACCCCTCTCCATAATAATTAGAATATTGAGTAAAGATCATCTTTAATTAAATTTTGATTTCACACAGACTTTTAATAAGTTTACTTGCTTTAAAGGTCCTGTGAAGTCCTTTGAAATGTGTTTTTTATTCAATGTTTCGCATAATTTCAACTGGAAAATGAACAGAGGGTGGGGCTCCCCTTCTTTTATTAAACAGCCAATAGAATTTCGTGTTTATCACAGCTCTGCCAGTGAGAGTGGTTGAGCTCAACTGTATGACATAAAAATTTCCTTTTTTTTCCTGGATATTAAAATGAGATTTTTTTATTTTTAATATGTAATGCAGGTCAGCTAGTAAGTGCTGTGCAGGTAAACCTCACTCCTCTGACCTCTAAAGGTGCTTTAGCGACAGATTCTAGAGGCCATGGTGTTTAGCCTCCTTGGTGGAACACCTGACTACCATGTGGAAGGTTGCTGGTTTGTTCTGCTGGATCTCTTTGTTTACGGTTCTTTGGGGATTCTCGCACTGGTTAGTGAACAGCTGATCTGTAAGTGTAGCGCCGCACTGAGGCGCGGATGAACTGCGGTTTAGCCATTGTGTACTGTACTACTGTTTGTACAGCGGGGGAAATAAGTCTTGAACACGTCATGTTATTTTCTTGGATTTCTAAAGGAGCTGTTGACATGGGATTGAACCAGATTTTGGTAAAAACTCAAACAATACAAGTATAACATTTTTTTAAATTGTTGTGTAATAACATAAAATGACACAAGGTGAAAGTAGTGAACTACTGAAATGTATTTTAGCCTATTGACGCCTCTCACATGGAGAATAAAGTCACATGAATTGCTTAGTTTTTCACAGACTTCAACAGAGTGAAAATCTTGATGGTTCTGTCGGTCTCGTCTATCAAATCTGTCCTTTATTTTGTATTTTCTTTTGGATTCAGGTCAGGTGATTGGCTGGGCCATTCTACAGCTTGACTTTTTGTCTCTGGTTTGAGACCAGCTTGGAGCGGGTTGGTTGGCAAAGGACCGGTGGGGTTACATTGGTGCCGTGACCTGGATGGGAGTGAGGTTTAGGGGGGTGAGTGTAACGGAGGCCAGCTAGTAGGTGCTGTGCAGGTAAACCTCACTCCTCTGACCTCTAAAGGTGCTCTAGCGAGAAGCGACATATGCTAGTGGCCACGGTTTTTAGCCTCCTTGGTAGAACACCCGACTCCCATGTGGAAGGTCGCTGGTTCGAGACCAGCTTGGAGCCGGGGTGGGTGGCATAGGACCAAATAGACATTGCTAAGAACACAATTTGCTTTTTAATGACGACTTTCTCAATATTTAGATTTTTCTGAATGCTCAGGTTCCAGATTTTAAAAAGATTTTGAAATTTGCTTATCATGCTTTCAGGAGTTATATAAATATAAATTTGCAAACAGTTACACTTATTTTATGGTCCAGCGTTATATTTGCTGAATACCAGATACTAAGAAATAACCCAGTAAGCATTGTGCGTGTGTGTGTGTGTGTGTGTTTAAAATAAGTCTAAAAGACATCTAAACTAACACAGCTTAGCTAAAACAAAGTTAAATGGGAACATCTAATGAATGTCTAGCCCAAATACACATGACTACACATAAGAACTCTTGTCTAATTTGCTTATTTGCTAGCTTGTCTAAATCTGGGCTCTTCATGGACATCTATTAGATTTTCGGACAACACAAATGTAGCCTTGTTTTAGTCATGCCATCTATCTTTAGACGTTTAATAGACACAAAATTGCTTGGTATACATGACACTAATGCATGAAGCTTGTTTACTTCAGAAGGAAACGAAAGACAATTATTATCAGGACAAATAAATACAACTTAATAAGAAATACAGCATGTATGGTTTTGTTTTTATTTATTTTTTTTCTGTTGTTTGTTTGTTTGTTTGTTTTAAATGTGAATTGTGTGGTGGTTAAACCTGCTACTGACAATACAACTAAATCATTATCTATACTTTATTAGGTACACCTGTCCAACTGCTTGTTAGCGCAAATTTCATAATCAGCCAATTACATGGCAGCAACTCAATGCATTTAGGCATGTAGACATGGTCAAGATGATCTGCTGCAGTTCAAACCGAGCATCAGAATGAGGAAGAAAGATGAAGTAACTTTGAACGTGGCATGTTTGTTGGTGCCAGACGGGCTGGTCTGAGTATTTCAGAAACTGCTGATCTACTGGGATTTACACGCACAACCATCTCTAGGGTTTATAGAGAATGGTCCAAAAAAGAGAAAATATCCAGTGAGCGACTGTTCTGTGGGCGCAAATGCCTTGTTGATACCAGAGGTCAGAGGAGAATGGCCAGACTGCTTCCAGCTGATATAGAGGAAACAGTAACTCAAATAAGCACTCGATACAACTGAGGTGTGCAGAAGAGCATCTCTGAACACACAACACGTCCAACCTTGAGGCAGATGGGCTACAGCAGCAGAAGACCACACCGGGTGCCACTCCTGTCAGCTAAGAACAGGAAACTGAGGCTACAATTCACACAGGCTCACCAAAACTGTACAATAAAAGATTGGAGAAACGTTGCCTGCTCTGATGAGTCTCGATTTCTGCTGCGACATTCGGATGGTAGAGTCAGAACTTGGCAACAACAACATGAAAGCATGGGTCCACCCTGCCTTGCATCAATGGTTCAGGCTGGTGGTGGTGGTGTAATGTTGTGGGGGATATTTTCTTGGCACATTTTGGGTCCATTAGTACCAATTGAGCATCGTGTCAACGCCACAGCCTACCTTAGTATTGTTGCTGACCATGTCCATCCCTTTATGACCACAGTGTACCCATCTTCTGATGGCCACTTCCAGCAGGATAACACGCCATGTCATAAAGCGTGAATCATCTCAGCCTGGTTTCTTGAACATGACAATGAGTTCACTGTACTCAAAAGGCCTCAGCAGTCACAAGATCTCAATTCAATAGAGCACCTTTGGAATGTGGTGGAACAGGAGATTGGCATCATGGATGTGCAGCCCACAAATCTGCAGCAACTGTGTGATGCTCTCATGTCAATATGGAGCAAAATCTCTGAGGAATATTTCCAGTACCTTACTGAATCTATGCCACAAAGCAATAAGGTAGTTCTGAAGGCAAAAGGAGATCCAACCAGATACTAGTAAGACGTACCTAATAAAGTGGCCGGTGAGTGTGTGTATGTCATAATTTAAATTTCATATATACTTAGACTAAAGAATACACATAAAAGACTTTGATAATACTTGTTAGTTGCAATTTATCAATGAAATTGATTTACTGATTGTTCTGTTTAACATAAATGATTTTAATTAATTAAGCTGTTTTTTTCAGTTTAAATTTGGTCTGTTTTTTAACTTGTTTACTTAAAATATAAAAATAATACTAACAATGGGCTACTTAAGTATTATTATTTTAATAATTTTAACAAAAAAAACAAAAACAATGCTGCTTGTTTTGTTTAAAATGAACAAATGCCTGTTGCTGTGTTGAGTGAAGTTGGATATTAAGTATTAACTTTAAACGTTTTCTTTTTACATGAGTTTTACCGTAGACTGTATACAAATGTGAATGTAAACATAGAAGTGTTAAGTAACTTAGTTTACACACATACCTACACAGTTTTGTCAGTAATGTTTCCAGGCAACGAGTTAACTCATGAATATTCGGTAAGTTAAAAATGCTTGGCATGTGTAGGTAGGAAGCAACGTCTACATTTACTAATTAATATTCATGAGCATCACTCGTAATTGGCGTCCAGGCAACGCGGCGACGCGCTCCAGATACAGGAGTTTGTGTGAAGTGGACAAAAGTGCCGCTTCACTGCTCTCACGATGATACATTAGTTAATTAAAGCATTTTTACAATTATAAATAATTAATATAAACATGTATGATCGAGCTCCGAGGTTCACACAGCTGACACTAAGCAGCACTACGTCTGAAATTGGACCGGGAACTTATAATATCAACAGATCTCTCGGCGGGGACAGAGGTAAGATTCGACATTTAAAAGTCATATTTGAAACCTGAGGCTAGTTTTAAACCTCACCATGAAGCACAAAGACACTATTGGGACGCATTAAGGGGGTTTTCATAGGTCCTTTGCTTTTTGTCGACAAGTACGTAACGTCACCCGTGTAAGCAGGCCCGGATTGGCTAATCGGGAGGACCGGGAGAATTCCCGGTGGGCCGGTCCGGTTTTTGGCCGCGAGGGCCGGTATTCCTAGCTCCAGAATCGGTTGCTCTCAGCAGTCACACTTTTTAAATTTATTTATCTAAGTTATTTATTTGACCACAGCCGTTTTATTCATTATTTTACCGCAGCTCTACTCTTTTTATCTATTTTCTCGCAGCTCAGTGAGCAAGTTGCAGCCTGCAGGTTAATGACGATATAACTTGATCAACTTACTGATCAGCTGTTGTGGTTCAGTGGTTAGTAGTTAGTTTTTGACCCCGCAGACCCGGGTTCGATCCTCGTCTGAGTAATTTATTTTTTATTTTTTTCATTTTTATTGTTAAGACATATAATACTGTTAGGGTTGTTGAACATTTGAAGTTCTAAAGCAGTTGTTTTCTCAAAAAAAGACGTGATAGTGTCATTAGAAACTGATTTGGAAATTGCCTTATTTTAATATAGTCAGTCGTGAACTGAGGTGGGCCGGTCTAAAACTTGAAACTCCAGGGCTGAAAAGGAGTCCCACTCCGACCCTGCGTGTAAGTGTAATTCTTTTTTGGGGGACACGGAATTTCTAAGGTTTTAATTTTATCTATTAGAGAGAGCATCATGGTGACTCAGTGGTTAGCACTGTCATCTCACATCAGGTTGCTGGTATGAGTCCAGGCTGGGTCAGTTGACAATTCTGTGTGGAGTTTGCATGTCCTTTTTTATTGTAATATTTACAAACATAGTACAAGAGAATAAATCTCACAACAGTTAGGAACATAATAAAACTAAATAACAAAAAAATGAAATAAATTATTTCAGTTATTTAAAGTATAAACATGCCAAGGGTAGAAAAATAAATAGGTAAGATAATAATAATAAAAACTTATTCAATCAATTGAAATTTACATAATGCCTCGTATGTTTTTTTTTTTTTTAGATTTTTGTTTTTTATGTTACATAATGTAGTATCATATTGTTTAATCTCCTTTATAAAATGAACACAATTTGGTTTAGCTTTGGCCCATTTCTTGACATGTATATGGTATTTTCCGAGTAATATTATTAGTTGTATAAGAGAACATGTTTTTGAATCAATTCTATCTTGTGCAAAAGCAAATATGGCATCATATAACCCAATTTGTATTAGTGTACCAAATGTCCTTGAAATAAAGTTAGAAACATCAATCCAAAATAATCTTGAGTATAAATATTAAAAAACAGATAAGAAACAGATTCTTTAATAATACCACAAAAATCGCAAAAGTTTTCTCTATCAATTCCAAACCGTTCAAATAATTCTTTTACAGGATAAATTCTGTGTAAATTTTACAGGTAAATGATACCTGTCTTACTTTATTACTTACTTACTTATTATTACTTACTTACTTACTTTATTACTTATAAAAAATGTATTTGTTAGTAACCAAACTTTTTTTTTACTCAATGTTTCCAATTTTTGATGACCAGAAGACTGTTGATGATGGTATTTGATTCTTTTATAATACATTTCTAATATATCTATTAATACATTTATCTTTAACAATGTTAATATCACCAATATATAAAACATCATCACTTGTCTTTGGCTGTTGGTCCACATTGTATATTGAATTACGCAACAGTGATTCAACTTTATTTGGTATTGCATCAAAAATAACAGCATAGTCTTTTGGTTTTACAGGAACTTTAAATTTTTAAGAAATTCAGAGTATGACAAGAGCAATCCAAGTTCATCAAGTAATTGACTAGAGTTTGCATGTCCTTTTTATTTTAATTTTTTTCTGGTTATATATATATATTTTTTATTTATATACGAAAATGAGAATATACAATCATAGTATGTTAACAAGAAATTGAAGAGACAAAAAGAACAACATTTTTGGAAAAAGAAACAACAACAGATGACGAGTTTGCATGTCCTCCCCGTGTTGGCGTGGGGAGTCGTTACGTCACGATTCTGTTTCCGGGTCCAAGCCTCTGGAGCGCTAGCTGAATGTCCGTGTGTTTTCAGTATGCCGCAGTGCTGTGTTCCATGTTGTTTGAACCGATCAGAGTCAAAACAATTGAAGAAGTTGTCATTCTACCGATTTCCGTGCGATGAGAAACAGAAGAGGAAATGGCTGCAGTCGATAAGGTAAGTTATGTTTTTAAATAAGCAAACAAAAAACGGCTCCAGGTTGTTGCTAACGCTAACGTTAGCACCCTGGTATCAACTAAGTACATGATGAACTTACGTAATAAAAATAGCATTTTAAGTGAATCATTTAACATAATTACTTAGATCTTTTAATGAGTAAAGTATCTTAATTATTGCAAATGTAGGTCAAAATATATACCAGATCTATTGTGTTTTTGTAATCCATGCTAATACATAAGCAAATTGAATCTCATTTTTTTGTACATATTGAGGTAATACTTTTCAGTATAGAGGTAAAGTTGGTTTTATATTCGCACATTCGTTCATTTAGAAGTCCCTATATTGTTTACCATGTTACTTTAAATATTCGATTGGAATTAGCATGCAAGTATGACTTCAAAACAACATTAACACTGTCTATTTGACTTTGAACAATGTTGTACTTTGATATTAATTTGCTGCATATATGATTTCCCTAATTAGAATTGGCAAATAATACTTTTCTGAAATTATACTATTAAGGAGAATGTCTGAATATCCGAATATAAAACCAACTTTACCTCTATCTTTTATGTAACAGTACATGATGAATAATAGTATACTAACTTGCAAACTAACTTAAACATTAATTTATTACAATCTAATGATGTGGTAAGTGTTAATCATGAAGTAACTTTAACTACAACATGTGTTCATGTTTAAGTAAAGGCTACATTAATTAGTGGTTATTACATTAGTTTGTTTTTCCCAGTTATGGGTTGCAGCTAAAAGAGCATCCGCTGCGTAAAACATATGCTATAAGTTGGCGATTCTATCTGGTGTGGCGACCCCAGAATAATAAAGGGACTAAGCCGATGTTTGTTAATGTATTACCTAACATTTTAGTTTAAGCTAAATGTAACCTACATGAACTCATGACTTGTAAACTCACATAGTAGTTAAATTAAGTTCAGGATTAGTGCATGCCTTAACCAAGCGGCAACCTCCTGCTCTCCCTCAGGAAGTGAATACGGAAGTAACTAAAACTGCAATGCACCCGAAATTCCGCTAGTCCTGGCCGCTCCTGGCTCCAAAACAGAGCAAATTTCAATTGAGCCCACTGTTAGAATGGCCAACTTTACTGCAGAAAAAAAGGTGTTTACAGCCTGGAACAAAAAAGATTTTGGTTAATACTGCTAATATTACCCTTCATGACAACTGTGAGGGGGGTGAATTTTTTTTTATAACTCATCCGTTTCCTTTATATTAAATTTGCATAATTAAGGGAGTGGCCACTTGAGTGACAGCTAGTCGGCGTCACGTCACCTCAGCTGATTCCGGCAGATTAGCCACTGAACTCGGCATATTTATCGTATTTCTGTGTTGTTTTATGTGGCTTTACACAGTCAACTGCCTTTTGGACTTGTTTCATACAATTATTAGATGGCATGGCATGCTTAGTGAACTTAATTGTGCTCACAAACCATTCACGTGGCCTCCGTTTCCCATGTGAGTAAAGTTATATACTTATACACCATCTCTATACATGTATTTGTTTTATTTAAGATCATTTATCGTTTATATTTATATTTAGAGCTGTAATGCACTTCAGAATCTGACGAATTGATTAGCTGTAGGCTCTAGAACAGTCATCTGAAGCGTTGTCATACAGTGTTATGCTGGATTTCATCAATAGTCTTACATTAACTTACACAGACTATATCTGAAGTGTTTGGAAGTAATTCGCGTTTTCCTCCTGTTGAAAAACGTCATAAGAACAATGTTTAGTGGCTCAATATATTACAGCAGTGTTTTTAAAAGACTAAACACTTTATTGATATAGTATACAACCAAGCACAAGTGGTCAGAATACAAACGTGTCACAGGTGATGAAGTATTAAGCGTTCTCCCAAAGTAAAGTGTGTCTGAACCAGGTCCAAGCTAAATGCTAGCAGGTGTCTGTAGCTCCGCTCACTCTCCGCCTCTTTGCCCTTGTTTGGTATCCCGCCGTGGTTGTGATGACACACGAACAAAATGGCGACGGTTGGCCGCGCCTACTTGTGGCTTCTTTTGCGCTCTTTAGAAACCTATGGGTGACGTCACGGTTACTACGTCCATATATTGTACAGTCTATGGCCTTAACTCATTACTTCATAATGAAGTAAAGTTTAGTTTACATATTACATTTAATGTGTTACAGTTATTGTAAAATGTTATAGCCAACCCATATTGGCTTGCAATTAAAATGAAAAGAGTACCCCAAAAAAGATTATAATCATTTAATAATTAAGTGAATTTGTTTTTTTACAGGCGCAAAAACTTCTACCCAAACTGTAACTCAAGGGTCTGCAGTTGGCATTTCCCCAATGGCAAAGCCGCTGGGCCTTCAAGATTTGCTTGGAATGAGGCAAAAGTTTTCCAGTTCCCCGACCCGCAGAGCCATACCTCTAAAAAGAGGGAACAGTCACCACCAGTGGATTCAATTGCTGATCGACAGCGCACCAAAGAGATGGCAACACAGACCCCTAGTACTGTAGTACTTCAAGTAGAGAATGACATCTTGAAGAAAGAGAATGAGATGTTGAGAAAACAATTGGAGACACAAAAACAAACATTTTCTTTCAATCAGATTTCATCCAATTCGGCCAGAGTGCAGTATTTTACTGGATTGCCTGATTCCGCCACTGTTTTCTTTTTGGAAGCATTACTTAATAAATTTGAACTGCAGCACCACTCTGATTGGACTGTCAAATGTATGCCACTAATTGATCAGCTGCTGATGACCCTGATGAAACTGAGGCTTAATTGTGGCCACACAGACCTGGCAACAAGGTTTAATTGTAGCACAGCCACAGTAACGAACATATGTACCACCATTGTTAGCACACTGTATGAGATTTTATATGTTGGCTTTCTTGAAGGCAACATCCCCTCCAAAGAAGAAAATCAAACATCACTGCCTGACTGTTTCCGGCCCTTTCCCAACTGTAGATTAGTGCTTGACTGCACTGAGGTTGCAGTTTGTAACACTGAGAGACTAGATGAACAGTGTCAGCTGTACAGTCAATATAAGAGAAGGACCACACTAAAGGCTCTTATTGGTGTATCACCCAATGGAGTAATTACATTTTCCAGTGACCTGTATGGAGGCAGTGCTTCAGACAAAGAAATAACAGCTGACTGTGGACTTCTCCAATACCTTAAACCAGGTGACATGGTAATGGCAGACAAGGACTTCACAATTCGTGAAATTTTGCCAAAGGGAGTGTCACTGAATACCCCATCTATCCTGGTCAATGGACAGTTTACTCAAGAGGAAGCAAACAATAACATGCTTATATCCAGTGCTCGGATACATGTGGTGCGTTCCATCCAGAGACTGAAATTGTTTTCTATTTTGGACCATGTACCATACCAATTCAGAAAGAACATCAATAAGATACTCAAAGTATGTGTGTGTCTTACAAATATGCAAACGCCAATTCTCAATGACATTCAATGAACCAATCATGTAAAGAATAAATTAAGACGAGTCTTCGCTGAGGCCAGCTTCCAGCCTCCACTGCTGAGACTGCAGCTCTGCACAAGACTTTTGGCCAGTGGAGAAATTAAAATGGTCGTGCCGAACTGAGTCTGGTTCTCTCAAGTTTTTTTTTTTTCTTCACTCTCCTATCGGTGAAGTTTTTTTTCCCTTTCCGCTGTCGCCACTGGCTTGCATGGTTCAGGATCTGAAAAGCTACACATCGATGAATTTGCTCTTCAGTGTTTGGACTCTCAGTAATGACTTCAAACCACACTGAACTGAGCTAAACTGAACTGAACTGAACTGAACTTAAACACTAAAAACTGAACTACACTGTTCCAATAACTATGATCATTTATGTGGAGCTGCTTTGACACAATCTACATTGTAAAAGCGCTATACAAATAAAGCTGAATTGAATTGAATAAATGGATGCACTACACAGATGCACTATGTGAGTTGTAAATTAATTTAATTAGTTCACAGTAGAATGTAACATCTCAAACAATTTGCTGTTTATAATACGTATTGCATGCTGATTTATTTACAGTTTGGTAATAAATGCTCAAAATAAGATTGCAAACTTCATTAGAATATATTAACACTCCTGATAAAGTGCTCCTCTTCTTTATATAAATTTAACAGTAAAACATGGCAAGATCATGTAAATATCACCATGCAAACAATAAGTGCTGAAAAATAAACTTAAAACTGGGATAGAATGTTTGGTAGGAAACAATCTTCATAAAATGTTTCCAAAATGTCAGTATTAACAACCCATTCTGGGTCTTTGAGCACCGGTACAATGACAAGTTCAAGAGGACTCCAAACAAGCAGTTGGCACATCTTAGCTCTGATCAGATGTAAGTTGCCCTGGATTTGATGCCAGTAGTCATGAGATTGTTTTAGTGTCAGAGAACCAGTGACCTCATTCAGCTCCAGAAAAAAGTTCTTACTTTCTGCCACCTGCATGATAGTCTTGGTTCTGGCTGGCCATTGACACTTCACCTCAACAATACAATCCTCAGGCACTGTGCCATCTGGGCCCGGTTTTTCAAAAGGTTAAATCCGGATTAAATTGATCCAGATTTAGTAATCCTGTTTTTGCGATCCGTGATCACGTAATCCAGCTTACTTTTTGAGCCAGTTTTTTAAAGTAACATCGGGATTGGATCAGTCTGATGCGGATAGGAACTTTACAGGATCTCTAAATCTGGATAACCAGTGCTCAATCACAATGTAGATGGATAGATAGGCCTATGTAAAGAGCAACAAGTAGAATAGCCAGTGTGGGGTCAATATTACTTTATTTTTATTTGAAATGAAAACACACACATATAAAAAAAAAAAGAAAAACCCTATCCCATCCTCTTCCAGCAGTCTGCTCATCTGAGACCTACAACACACTGTACATTAAGGATATTTATAATAAGTTTCAAATACAGATGGATTAAAAAAAAAAGACTTAATGTCAAAACCTCCACAATAATTTCAGACTTCCTCATCTGATGTGGAGAGAGCAGCTTGTCTGAGCGTAGCCTTTAGGAGGCGGATCTTAAGTTTGCCATTGGTTTGCTGCAGTTTGGTCAGAGTCAGTTGTTCCTCTGCCAGATGAAGCTGTGCTTCTGCCCTTTCAGTCTCTTTTTGCAATTGTTGAAGGTAATTTCAAAATTCAGTGATTGCCATTCTTTGCTTTTATTTAGGTTATTCTGTAATCATTGCATGCATCACTAATAAATATTCTAAAAACAAATATTTTTCGTTGTGATGAATATATTTATATTAATTAGTAACAGAATAAAATGTGTTGTTTTTGGTCAATTTTGGCAGCTGTTTGGGGGATTATTTTATGAGGCCAAACTCTTTCTACTTTCTACTAGGCCTATACTGAAAGGCTGAATACATTAAAGCCTATAATCACTATAGCCTGACAGATGAACAAATAAAATTAAAACCTTTTTATGAATGAATAGTATATCTCGTGAGATACTGAATGATCCAAAAATAATATTATTTAATACATTTTTTAAGTTTTCATTACATTTTGGGCATGAAATCCACACTAAATCCACCCTTCTGATGGGATCAGTTTAATCCAGTTTTTTTTTGGATCAAAGTGATCCAAATCCTACAAAAAAGGTCTGAAAAACCCAAACTAAAGTTTTGATCCGGATCAAAACCAAGATTGGATTACGTGATCTAATCTTATTAGGTAATCCGTTTTTTCTTTTGAAAAACACATTTTCAAGATTTGATCCATTCCCTTATCTAAAATCCTAGTGGATTACTTTTGAAAAACTGGGCCCAGGAGATCCACCGAGCAAACCGCTGTCAAAGAGGAAAAGTCCCCTCTCCTGAATGACCACACCAGTCTGCTCTGTATACAGCTGCTTCGCCCTTGGCTCATGGATGATACCCCAATCACATGCCTTGGAAAGGGAAAAAAATCACTTTGTTGGACGACTGACTGTCAACCTGTTTTCCATGCTTTAGAAACAAAAATGTCGTCAGCATAAATAGTATTTTTTTTTTTAAATATCAACTTACTTTAGATCCTCCTTTGAGGTTGTACTGACCAAGCAGGCTTTTAAACAAGGAAGGTGGGTAAGAACTTCGCTTGACTGCTGCTAAAACCAATCCAAAGTTGCTTGCTGTGATTCGCTTCTTACGATATGTAAACCTGTAAAAAAAAAAAAGTTCACGTTGACAGATCTAGCTTAAAGAGATAGTTTATACAAAAATTAAAATTCTGCCATAATTTTACATAATTGTTTCAAACCTTTATGAGTTTCTTCTGTTTAACACAAAAGAACACATTTTGAAGAAATTTTAAATTTTGTTATCATTGACTTTATTAATTTTTCCTACGATGAAAGTCAAAGATTACAAGTTTTAAATTTTCTACAAAATTAGGAAAAAATTAACTCATAAAGGTTTATAACCACTTGAAGGCGAGGAAATTGTAAGTAAATTGTAATATTTGGGTTAACTATTCCTCTGTGTAGAATAACTGAATTTTGCCCTGCGCACTTGCGTTTTTTTTAGTTACTTCTTTGGTTGGGTGCGTCAATCTTATCAATGCTATTATTCAAAAAAGGTAATGATTCGCACTCAATTGCTTCGTACTGTTTTTCTTTTTCTTACATTTTACGGGTGATTAAAAGACAAACGTTTCAGCACAAAGCCTTCCTCAGTGTGTGACACAATTCTTACTCCACCCTTTTATCCCATAGTCAATCACAATGTGCAATTAGTTAGACCGTCACTCTCTTTTCATTATCCATTAATCACACAATAACTTATAATCTTCACAGCAATAACAATAAACAATCTTCACGTTTCCGACCTCACTCTACAGAGATAAAGTGTATCAACTATTATCATCAATCAGGTGTACATCAATAAAATAAAAATCCGACAGCTAACATTAAAAAAAAAGTTTTTTACATTTGACAATTATTCAAAGATTAAAAAAACACAAATCTTACTTTCACCTCTACCCACATAACCAATTATACAAGAGACATTTATCCTCATCTTCAAAAACAATTTGTGAAACATACAAGAAATATCTTTACCATCAAAAAACATTACTACATAAGAAAACAGCATATCAATTATCATATTTTTTAACAGTTTTCATTACAATATATCATGATCAATTACTAGAAAAATACCTTTATATTCCAAAAAGATAAAGGTATTATTATCTTTGTAAGATAAAGGTATTTTTCTAGTAATTGATCATGATATATTGTAATGAAAAGGAGAGTACTGATAAACTTGATGTTTGATGTGCTGTTTTCTTGTAGGATGATGTTTTTGGAGAATTGTGTCACACACTGAATAAGGCTTTGTGCCGAAACGTCTGTTTTTTAATCAAATTTTTATATTTATATATATATATATATGTATGTATATATATATATATATATATATATATATATATATATATATATATATATATATATATATATGTATGTATGTATATATGTATATATATATATATATATATATATATATATATATATATATATATATATATATATATATATGTATATATATATATATATATATATATATATA